ATTTTGTTACTTTTTAAATATTATTAAATAATAATATATATTGAATAATTGAGAAATCAGTAAGTATTACAAATATAATTAAACTAGTATCAGCACATAAATCAAAATAATCACTCCTTTATTTATAATTACTTTAAAAAGTAAATCAAACAATCAATTTTATATATTTTATGTGATAAGTAACTCAATTTAAATCATATTAAAATATAGATATATGTATAATATATATTTAGTTTGGTTATTTATTAAATGAGGCTTCATACTCATATAATTTTATGATCATTTTTATAAATTTATAAAAGAAATTCAATCAGTGATAATATAATTTCAATGTGGGACATTTAATATTTATAGTAATTCATAATTATTTTTAGAAACTGAATGCAAAGATCAAAATTAAATATAAAGGTTTCAATACTTGATCAATGCAATTTTGAAACAAAACAATTTAGGTATTTTTAGATGGTATATCGTTTAATTTCAACGCTATTAAAATGTCTATATATATATATATATATATATAATCTAAATATCTATTAAATGAGATTTCCTACTCATGTGATTGTATAATTGTTTGTATCTTGTTATATGAAAAAAAATTAAACAATTAATCATAAAGTACTCTATGTAAAATTTTAAAGGTTTTATTAATTAATAGTTTTTTCAAAAATTCAAAATATAACATATATATACAAAAATGGTATTCTTTAATATCTTTTCATGAGATACAATTAAACAAAAAATATAGGCTACACAAGTTTTCATCAAATCTTTCTTGTTAAAAATAATTAATTATCATATATTTTAACCACATTAGGTATTTATGTAGTTTTTATTATTGAAAAATTAAGAACATTAGTTTTAGTGTTAGTTAATAAAAATATATATTATATGTCTATATAGACCAACGTATTTCTATAAAGATCTTAAGAAATATTCTCGTGATGACACATATCATAGCTCAAAAGTTGTAATGTTTCTTAAATAATATATAATATATAATATATTGTCTAATCTATAAAAATTTATATTTTAATTACAAATCAAATTTAAAAATCAAAATTAAGTTAAACACCAAAGTTTAATCTTATATTGAATAATTTCACATATGTATATATTTTAATTTACCCATTACAAATAAAAAAATCCCACTCATTGGCTAGGTTTTAATTTTTTTAAAGAAAAGTTAAAGTACATTCTTGCCTCTTTAACTATTTCATTTAACAGTTAATTACTTGCAGGATTCATGAATTTTTTTTTTTACCTTGTCACTTTTCCATCATGTGTGATCAAATCCAAATTGATGTTCTGGTGTATTAAATAGTTAAAGATACACTAGATACCAAATGTTTCTCCAATTGAAAATCCAAAATTTGCATCAATAAAATAACTTTGAAAACATGATTGATTTGGCCAGTAAAATACACTTTTAAGGACTTTTCCCCTTTTTATTTGCTAGTATGATAATCTTTAGCAGATTTTCTATTTTCAAAAATTTAACGGCTGATTACAAAGCAAACTAAAAAATTGGAAATACATATATAACAAAAATTTTAAAGGAAGATACTGAACACTTTTAGAGTGTATATCGTATTTATCCAGATGTCTTTTGGATTGTGCAGTGTTATCTGAGGAAAAACATCTTTAAGAAATACAAAATGGATTTTGATTGAAGAAATGCCGGATATTTTTTGCACATTATTACCCAGAGCATGAGATGTATTCAAGAGATCGCATTTTACAATAAGTCGGAGTTTTAGTAAAATATTAAAGGTGTTAAACAGTATTGGCCCATGTTTGTTGGCTAAACCCAAAAATGTAGTGCCTTAAAAAATACGAGAAAACACAAGATTATATTCTTACTTTTTTTTTTTTCACTGAGATAATATTCTTACTTTAAGATATGGAAAATAATTTCTTATAGTGCCAACTTCATCTTATAATTTCAGGATTTTTTTTTTTTTTTTTGACATCAAACGGCTGATCCATTACTCAAAGAACTTGAGGTGGTCTGGGAATCTAGACCGGAATAAAACAACCACCGCACACAAGCTTGCGATAATAAGACCTAGCTGTCTTAGCGAGAGAATCAGAAACACTATTATGTAATCTAGGGACATAAGAGATCTTAAAGTCAGGGAAGCAGATCTTCAGGGTCTCCAGCTTTTCCAGTTCTGTTGAGAAGTTAGGCCATGCCTTAGGATTCTTGAGCATCTCAATCATCTCCTAGCAATCAGTTCCAAAGCTCTTACATGGCGAATGTTGAAGCATATTCTCCATTGCCCACCGCAGTGCTTCCAACTCTGAATGCAACGCCGATTCCACTCGATCAAAATTGCACAGCCCCATTAATTCACTCTTTCCGAAATTTTCATTCAGCACCCATCCACAACCACTGAAAATATTTGTAGAGGTCCAAGAACCATCTACCATGCATATATTAGCCAAACTTAATATATGGTCTTCCTCTGTTCCGTTCCTAGTGGACACCGGAATTTCCTGCTCATTTGCTTTGAACCATGCTTGGCATTCGCTTTCTGCATATCGTGCAATCTCTAGTGGTTCCCTATCAATACCTCTGAATAGCTTGTCATTCCTAGCCTTCCAAATGTACCAGATTAACCAAGGATAAGGATCTCTGTCCAAATCTGGTTCCATTATCGCATTCTTTCTCCAGAACAAATAATCCATATTCGCGTACGTGCTTTGTGCTTCAGGATTCTTTTGGAGCTATATATTGATGGAACATATATTTTGTTACGGTACTAGCTAGGAAATGAAATTGTTAGCTGTCGAAAGAGAAATGGAGTTTTATCTCAGTTGGTGCTAGCTGCGTTCAGTTTTGATTTGCAATTCAGATTTGTTTTAACTGGTTGGGAAAGTTTAGCTCATGATGCAAAAGTGTTAATTGATGCATTAACGAGAAGTAGCAATAAATTTGAAATTCCCCAAGGTAATGCATTACTCAATAAATTATGTGTGTTTAAGCTAATTTATTTTACTAAAAGTTTTATGATTTTTTATATTATACATTAAAAAAATCAGAAATTTTTATTTTTGCTATACTATGGATATATACGCAATAAGATTTTAACTCCATTTTGAAGTACCCATTATCATCTGAAAGAATTTATAGGAGGAGGAAGTGATCCAAGAAACAAAGAAGAATTAGCTAAGCAGCATCATGCTTGCTTGAGAAATGTCGTCAAAAGGATTTTTATTAATTTCAAATCAAGATTTCTGTTATTCAAATCTGATCCTATTTTTTCATATACGACACAAGCTGAGTTAGTGATTGTACGTGCTGCACTGCATAACTTTCTCTGTCATAAGTTTCGGTTAGACCATGTGCAACAGCAATTCTTAAGGGGAATCCTTAGGAAAAAAAAAGGGCATTTCAGATTATATAAAGATATTTCAGATTTTTTTTTTTTTTAAAATGACCATTCGCGTACCGCCACGTGTGCAGTGGAGCCCGTGAATAGTGTAAGTATCATTCCTTAAATAAGAATTTTAAGGATATAATCCTTAACTATTCATGGGACCCAATGATTATAAAATTAATATTTTCCTAAGAACTCCCTCTAAGGATTGCCCATTGCACATGCTCTTAGATGAGTTTCCTCTGGAAGAAACATACGATGAACAAAATGTTACCCATTCAAGTACCGCGGAGCCACTTTGGTGTGAGGGGGAGGGTCGAAACCATACATAAAAGTTAATGAGTGCATAAAATAGATAAATATATATATATATATGTACAATGACTGTGAAAGTGGATGCCTCGAACTCCTGACCAGAAGAATTACTGGGTGCATACATTGTCAACTTAGCTAATTTAGAAACAAATTCTATGTAAAACATGATAATTAATATTAAAATTTTATGGGTGCACGATCACCCACAACCACCAACGTGGCTTCGCCTCTGGTGAGGGGGTCAGTCGTGCCCCTATGAAATCTATAAATTTTAGAATTTAGGTTTAGTTTCAATGTTATTGTCATGGTGAGATGGTTAAAACTTCTTCTTTTGACCCCTGTGTCTTGAGTTCAAGTCTTATGTATATCTCTTTTACCTATAACAAAGTAATTATGACCCCTATAAAGGTCATTTCTACCTCCGTTACTGCAGTGATGGTCATCAATTTCTTGGTGCACAATGAACAAAGAGAACAGTCTAATGAATGGGGAACAACATTTGCTTCATATATGTGGAATGATGCTATCAGTAGATCTCAACAGTGATATATTCCTGAGTACGTATCAGTTATATGTTCTTTTCTACCAAATCTCCTATCAAATGTTTCCCTTGATCGTAATCTTCATCCATCGGATTAGCTCGCTAAAATATTGACACTCGGGTACCACCATCTGGAAATTTGATGACTAGAATATAATTCACGTCAAGTATTCCCTAAAATCCAAATAAATTGAACTAAATTTCATCAAATCTGAAATCCTTAAAAAAAAATCAAATCCCTAATCTAATAAGCCCCATTAATAAATTTGAGCGTATATTTAGTACCAAAGGGTTATATATTTAAAAAATCCAGCATTTTTTTTGTTTTTGTTCTGGGTGTGTGTGTGTGCTCGATCGATGGTCAGTAGGAGCACTGTACCATGCTCCATCACCAATCGAGAGCCACTTGCAACAAACACAAAAACAAGGTCCAGCATTTATTTAATTCTATAAAATAACACTTTAAATCACTGTTTATGTATGCCATATCGTCATTTGCTAATATATGATAATCAACGTACAAGTTTGTCATTTTATTCAGATAAACCTAGTCCCTTGTTGTATTACAAACTTAACTTTACAGAAAATAAATACCAATCACAATTCTGATACTGATTTAGCTAAAGTAACTGAGCCCACGGAGTTCACCCCACCAAACCTCTCCCAAAATATCAAGATATTACAGAAATGAAAATGTATACGTGGCTCTTCTTTACAAAGGCTATATAAACCCTAGACTGTCACAAGGTTCCCATCCAACACAAACACCTACATTTACTTATTAACCATGAAGCTTCATGGACTAGCCTTGATATGTTTTTTAATTGCTGTGGCGAGCTGCAAAGCTATTGAGGACATTGATTGCGAAGAGAACGAGCCATTCACATGTCGAAACACTGATCAGTTAAGCAGTAAGACTTTCCCAAAAGACTTTATCTTCGGTGTTGCTTCTGCTGCTTACCAGGCATGTTACAAATCACCAACTCTTTACGTAGAAAACCATTTAAATTATTGAATCTAACGTTGCATGGTTGTTTCATATTATTTTAGGTGGAAGGGGGCAGAGGACGTGGTCTTAACATTTGGGATGGCTTCACTCACCGATACCCAGGTATATCATCTACATGGTACATCAAAAAAAAGTTCATATATATTTAAATGTCCACATCTCTTATCATTCATACTAATGTGTCTGTTTACTATTAGAGAAGGGAGGATCCGATCTTGGGAATGGAGACACTACCTGTGAGTCATATACGAGATGGCAGGTTAATTCCTCACTAAGTCATAAACGAGATGGAAGGTTAATTCATAATTTCCTCACTATATATAATGATATCCGGGTGTGTATGTAAACTGCAGAAAGATATAGATATCATGGACGAACTCAATGCTACTGGCTACAGATTCTCATTTGCCTGGTCAAGAATCATTCCAAGTATGAACACATAAACGATCTATATATATATACAAAAAATTCTTGTAATGTGATTGTTGGAAAGATTAAATATATGATATGTATACATGAGCAGAAGGAAAGGTGAGTAGGGGAGTGAACAAAGGAGGTCTTGAATACTACCACAAACTCATAGATGGCCTCATCGCAAAGAATATAACACCTTTTGTTACCCTCTATCACTGGGACCTTCCTCAAACACTGCAAGATGAGTATGAAGGTTTCTTGAACCGCACCGTCATGTATGCCATTTGTGCCACGTTCTTAGCAAGAAATATAAGTAGAAGAAAAAACATATATAATTGATCTCATGTTAATGATTTGATTCTATGCTATGCACAGAGATGACTTTAGAGATTATGCGGATCTATGTTTTAAGGAATTTGGTGGAAAGGTGAAGAACTGGATCACGATCAACCAGCTGTACACAGTGCCTACGAGAGGCTATGCAATCGGAACAGATGCACCCGGTCGATGTTCTCCGAAGGTTGATGAGAGATGTTACGGCGGAAATTCTTCAACAGAACCTTATATAGTTGCACACAACCAGCTTCTTGCTCATGCTGCGGCGGTCGATGTTTACAGGACAAAATATAAGGTTAGTATATATCGGTTTGTGAATAGGTGTAATCTAACGTATATGACTATATTCAAATCATAAAATTGCGTGTGCCGTGACCAACAGTTCCAAAGAGGGCAGATCGGACCAGTGATGATAACTAGATGGTTTCTTCCATTTGATGAGAAAGACAAAGACAGCATAGAAGCAGCTGATAGGATGAAAGAATTCTTTTTGGGATGGTAACGTATATATATTTATAAATCAACAAAAATGAAATGATTTTCTTATGTGTATTTACATCGATCAGGTTCATGGAGCCGCTAACAAAGGGTAGATACCCAGATATCATGAGAAAAATTGTGGGAAGCCGGCTTCCCAATTTCACGGAAGCAGAAGCAGAACTCGTTGCGGGTTCATATGATTTTCTTGGTCTCAACTACTACACCACTCAGTACGCCCAGCCAAAACCTAACCCAGTTACATGGGAAAATCACACTGCCATGATGGACCCAAGCGTAAAGCTCACATGTACTATATTTCCTCTTATAGTTATAACCTTTCTATATATATATATATATATATATATATATATATATATATAGGTTTCTGACATTTTTAAATTATAGCATAGTGACCCCAAATATTTTATCATTGGGTTTACAGATAAAAATTCGCGTGGTGAAAATCTTGGTCCACTGGTATGTGCATGATCCACCCCTATTACTTGTCAATATTTTTTTTTTTCTTGTTGATGTGGATATGTATGCTTCCTCTTCTCAGTTCGGCGACGTCTATTACCACCCAAAAGGCATTTATTACGTTATGGACTACTTCAAAACCAAATACAGTAACCCTTTGATCTATATCACAGAGAACGGTGACTACTACTCATCTCTTTTTCCATATTAAGTAAATTTTTGTTTCAAATAATCTACAGTTATTCATGTATATGCATGGTTTAATTAGGATTTAGTACTTCCGGTGACGAAACCCGTGACGAAGCTATTGCCGATTACAAGCGCATCGATTATCTCTGCAGTCATCTATGTTTTCTCCGTAAGGTCATCAGGTGAGTGGAAGATGCTATATTTTTTCTCTTTTGAATTTGATGTATGCATACATGAATGTATGGTAATCATCATGCACAGGCTTTTAATGAGTGTTCCTGTTTCCAGGGAGAAGGGTGTCAACATAAAAGGATACTTTGCATGGGCTCTTGGAGATAATTATGAATTCTGCAAAGGTTTTACTGTTAGATTCGGACTTAGTTACGTTAACTGGACAGACCTCGATGATAGAAATCTAAAAGAATCTGGAAAATGGTACCAATGCTTTATTAATGGTACCACTAAGTACCCTGCAAAACAAGATTTCCTCCGCTCAAACCTCTCCTTCGAGAGCCAGAAGAAGAAGAAACTCTCAGATGCATGAAACACTTTATCCCACTATCATGATCATCTTCGTATCTCTACCACTTGCTTCATAGATAAGGAGCTTGTTCTATCTATATTGTACTAAAGAATATTCCAATAAAAGATGATCATTTACTAATAAATATTTTCGTTTGAGTTCGATCCCTTCTTACACCTTGAATTACTTTTTACTTGGGATGAATTTTTTTTTTAAAGGATGATTAGGTTTTTTAAAATTATAAAACTTGGCACAGGTCAGTTTCGGAAACCTGGATTTTATGGAGATAGACCAAAATTCAATAATAGATTGTGACTGTGAGCGGTGAGGCTAATTGTGATTGTGGCGTTGGTTCAAATCAGAACAATAAATTAATTACGATCGGTGAACACTAGACTAGAGTAAATGAACCATAACATTCATTTCACCTAAACCTCTCCGACAAGAAATGGATACGTGACTCTTCTTTACTAAGGCTATATAAACCTTAGATTGGTTTAAGGTCCCATACAACACAACACAACACATACATCTACAGATTAACCAGGAAGCTTCATTGACTCACTTCAGTTTGTCCGTTATTGTTCGTGATGATTTGCAAAACTGATGTAGAAATTGAAAAACAATAGAAAACTCGGTCTGTGACAGAGATGCGACTCATTAGTCTTTTCTCAGTCATGTATAAGATCATATCAAATTTTATGGCAACCAGCCTAATTAAAACAACAAAATTTCAATGCACAAGATTCTTGCAATATTGATTGACTTTCTAAAAAAAAATGCGAAAGTAATTACTACATGCTTAATCAAAACCACTAGATTAAAAAGAAAAAGAAAAACACTAGATTCTACATGAGGCATATAGAATAGAAAATGTGAAGATGTAGTCGCAATGTAAAGATCATCGTAACATATTTCTCAAATATTGATATTGTTATGTCTTCATGAAAGGTGGTAATGTTTGTCCTAATGTTAATCCAATCGTACCTAACTAAACCCTATCAACTAATCACTAAACCATACACAGAAATATAAATCCTAATCCACTGTCAATCCCAATCTTTCATAAATTACACCCTAGCCTCTAATCATTGAACCTTACATGGAAATATAAACTCTAATCCAATGTCAACCCCAATCTTTCATAAACTAAACCCAAATTTTCTAATGCAAGTAACATGCATTTCCATTTTACATGAAAATATAAAATGTAACAAACGGTATAGCACAGTACATATATATTGTTCAAATTTTGAAGTTTATATGATTACATGGAAGGAGGTAATGCTTATACCAAATTCAGATTGATTGTAGCGAAAAGAAATGAAGATTGATCCCATTAGAGAAAAAAAAGTGGAAGAGATAACATCATATGGAAATCATTCCTATTTAACATTACATTATATGAAACAATTACACCACAAGACAGTTTTGAGTTTCTTTTTACATAATAGAGCAGTTTCTGCTACAAAGGCAGTTTATGCTAACAAATTTTCTCTTTTCGTTACTTTTCCAAACTAGTTAGTTACTTAATAATTCTAACCTTTAGCTTTTTAACTAAATAAAGAGAGTGTAATAACGGGAGTTTATCTCCACCACACATCTTTCTTCCATCTTTTCTCTTTTTCTCTTTTGTCTTCTTCCTCTTTCATTCCCTAAATTTTTAGAAATATTTAAATCTGATTCTTAAATTTCTTTCTCTAATTTTTTTCGATGAAATCGTTCTCTCCATTATTCGATCTATCTTTTAAGATCTGTGAAGATACATTTCTGATGTCGGTGTACACCTTATCTAATGTACACACGTTATTTTATGTACACTTTTTTAACATACACACGTGTACATTCAAAATAAACAAATATATGTGAATAAGTTGTGCACATAAGGTAAACTATTGATTTCTTACTAAAAAAATACCAATCTACATAACAATAAGTGTACATATGGTTTAGTTCATTTAATTTATTTTTCAATACATTTTATTAGCTTTGAAATTTTAGAGGTAAAAATGAAAGCAATAAAACAAGGATCATATTGCAATTAAGAAGAAATACTGGAATAAGTAATCAAAGAGTTTGTTGGTTATTTTGTGTATACTTTGTGACATGTACACATGTACTTCGAAAATGGACCAATATATGTGAAGAAATTGTACACAAGTAGGTGAATTGATGGTAGTTTACTAAAAAAACAAAATACATAATAAAATAGATAAAATCAAACTGAATATGTGTACACAAGGGATGTGCATTTTGTAAAACCTTTGTAATATAAAACCACAATTTTGATGTGCAACAAGCATATTTCAAACATATGTGTACATAAATAATATATAATTTTTTACATAACCACGATTGTACACATGTACATAACCATGAATGTACACGACCACAACTGTACATATTTACACATGTGTACACAACCACGATTGTACAAATTTACACACATGTAGACATGTACGTAGTCATTATGTACTTGTGTACGTAAATGACATACATAAACAAACACAAAACATAATTATTTATTTGACAGTATGGACCAAAAATGAAAGCAAACAAAAGATAAAAAACTAATTTGTAGTTAAAATGAAGGCTGAAATTAACAATTAAAAAGAATTAGAGTCAAAATGCAATTATGTGAATCATAAAGGACCAAATGAGCAAAAAACTAAAAAAACCATTGATGCTCTCGGGTTTGTTCTGACGGAGTCGCAGCGGCGAGATGTGAGGCCATGACTTCAGAAAATACTTTAAAGACTATGTGGTGGTGCAGAATCTGGTGGTGCGGAGGTTGGTGATGGTTGAGATTCATGGCAAAGCTTGATTAAAATGGAAGAATTTGGTGGAAGAGTTGCCCAGAAAATTGTGGCAAATTTAGGGTTCTAACAGTAATAGATCTGAGTATTTGGCTTTTAAGATCTTTGTGAGATAAAAAAAGATAGAATTAATTTTGAGATTGGAGAAAAAAATAATGATGGAAGAAGAAGAAGGTAAGAAATAAAATAATGGCTTTCTTTTATTAAGTTACGTTAAATAGAAGAAGGAAAAGAAGAAACTGAATTAGTTTGATTGGAAGGAAAGAGAGTAGACTTAGTTTAGAAAAACTACCTCAGTAGTCATAACTGTCTTAGAATGAAATAAAAAACTCAAAACTGTCCTATAGTGTAAAAAACTCACATTATATTATGTTTTATTTGATGTCATAATAAACTGTATTCCATTTACGTTCAATATATTATTTATCTTTACAAAATCATATACAAATTAATATAAAACACATGTATACACCAATACAAAACTAATATTAATAAAACATGAAAAACAACAAACAAGATTGAAGTTTCAATCATCGAATGAAATAGAACTTACTAAATAGTGAATTATTTATTAATAAACATGGTAAATAAGAGAAAAGCCAAATTTGAAGGAAAAACAGCCTGTTCCATTTCATAAAATAGTATAGAAATACTATTATATCATTCAGCTCATCCATGACAAATCTGAAGAACAAAATGAAAATGAAGACACACGTTAGTTTACAAGTTAGAAAGGAATGTCAGGATATGAGATAGGTTACTAGTATATGAATTACTTTATACTTAGGTTAATGTTTAGTTGTGACAATCCCGAATAGCTTATTCAAATAAAAGAGTAACATGCAATTAGAATTGTACCATCTGATATATAATATATTTTTTTTTATACATGGAATGGAACAGATGGTTAGATGGAATGGAAAGCGAATAATATATCAGTTCTGATACAATTCTTCAATCCTAAATCAATTCGTTTACCTCAACTTACTAGATGGAGCAAGCAACATAGATGATGGGTTAGACTTATCAACTTAGAACAGACTAGATCCGAATCTATTCCAAATAAGGGAAATATCATTGAAACCCAAAATAGAAGAGAAAATAACATCAGATGAAGAGATGAGGGTGTTAAAACCCGATAACTTATCGTGGGTGAAGAGATCCGAGAAGAACTGAGTTTGAGAAGTGGAATTGATACGGATTGTTGAACAGCGCCTCTGCAGAGTAACCGCCGTCGACCGGGAGCCGATTTCAGCATCTAAGTTGATAAGCACGAAGGAGATGTGAAAATTCGAGGAAGTTATCAAGAAAAGTGAAAAGATAGGTGTGGAATATGATACGCCACGATCTACAGTTTATGCCTAATAATTATCTTTAAAAAAATTTCTATCGGTTTAACTGGTTGAGGCAAAGAATAAAACGGTATTAATATAGAAAACTAACGGCGTGTGTAGTTCTATTAGGGTAATTGGTTATTTCGCCAATTAGACTTTTGTGTGTCTATTGGCAGTGACGAAGCCACGTGAAGCACTATGGGTGCACTGCAAGTGCACCCAGTATATTTTAGATATAAAACATTTTACATGGACATGTGAGAAGAAGCTAGTTAATTTTGCTAAGATTCACCCCATAATTTCTAAGCAACCAGGCTTCAATTTCCTCCTATACTATTTTTCTATGTAATTTTACACCCAGTTAAAAAGAATTCTCGTTTCGTCCTTGCTTATAGAACTCAATTCCCCTAATTTTTAGCCATCCATTTATTGACTACATAACTTATGTAGGTTGTAAACTTGTAATTGATTGAGTGATGTTGTTGTATTTGCATAATTTACATTAACAAGTGAAGATTTTATTGTGTCCATATATGTTCACCCTTTCTATTATCTGTAACTTAGATATTGACTAGTAAAAGTGATGATAAAGTAGTAGCTCTATAGTATAAAAAAGTACTATGATGTAAAAATTGTATGCTCTCATTAATATTTAATAAAACGTTTGGTAACCACTATCAAAACTAACATAATATATATTATATTTATTGTAAATAATATAAATATTGATATTTATATTATTGAATATATCTCTAATATATATACATATATTAATACATAAAATTAAGAAAGGATAGTTATATCCAAAAATAAATCTCATATTTTAAAAATATTACAACTAAACATTATTAGCTTTTGAAAAATATTTCACATTTATAATATAATATATTTTTATTTTTTAAGTTTAAATTATATTTTAAATATGTAAATATATTTACAAAAAAAAATTCTTTGTAAAATTATTAGAAATAACATATTTAATTTTTGGATTTAGACATAATTTTATGATATTATTTAATAAAATAAATTAATTACATATTTTTCTTAATTTTACAAATTATAAATTTAAATGGTCTAATAAAAATCTCGTATGAGAACGTCGAACAAAAAATATTTGGAAAACATTAGGATTTTATAAATATTTTTCTAAATGTTGTGATGATGAGCATTATGTTTATGTAATAAAAATCTCGTGATGATGAGCATTATGTTTATGTTAATCCTCTGCCCAATCAAAGAGCTTAGAAACAGCAAAGGTCAAAACTAATATCATATTCTTAATTATATTTCCAAAATTAATATTTTGGCAAATTAACCCTACTTTGAATAATAACTTGTTTTGTTGACTACGAAAAAATAATAATAACTTGTTTCTGTAATTTGTAATAATTTTGTTAACTGTTTAGTCCATAAAATCATTTAGCTAGGAAAAAAAAAAAGAACCGAACTCGATAAAACAACAAAGAAAAACAAAAATCCCTTTAGGGCACAAAGAGAAGAAGTACTTCGGCAAGAATCCAATCGCTTCTACTGGTTCGTACTTAACCCTAATCTCCATCAATCTCCGATCATCATCCTCCTTTCTCTTTCTTGTCTCTCTTCTCAATTTTAATTGATTCTGAAATCTTTCTTCGAGAAACGAAAGCTTTCACGCTTTCAACTCTCGGATCCTCTCAATTTCAATCGATTAGGCTAGCAGAATCCGATTCTTGATTAATTAGATAAGAATCTATACTTTTGAATTTCAATTGAGTAAAAATCTAAACTGTTTGTTTCAGGTGTTCAGATGGGGTCAGAATCAGATCAATCTTCTTCCAGATTCAATACCCTTGAGGTCAAATCTCTGATTTACCAGAAAATCGGACACTCGAAAGCAAACACTTACTTTGACCAGCTTGGTAAGTTCCTCGCCTCGAGGATAAGCAAGTCTGAGTTCCATCAGCTTTGTATCAAGACCATCGGTAGAGAACACATCTCTCTTCACAACCGTTTACTACGTTCGATTCTCAAGAACGCAACCGTTGCTAAATCACCACCACCACCGCCAGCACAACCAAGATTTACCAAGAAATCTCTTTATGGTGACTCTGGGTTCCCTCCTTCCTCGCCTCGAAAATGCAGGTCGAGGAAGTTTAGGGACAGGCCGAGTCCGCTGGGTCCACTTGGGAAGCCTCAAAGCATCACTACAACGAACGATGAGTCAATGTCGAAGTTACAACGACTTCCAACGGAAGAAGGAGAAGAGGTTGAGCAAAGTGTACAGTGCAGAAGAAGCCCGTTGACCGCGCCACTCGGTGTGTCCTTAACCGGAGCTAGAAGGTTTGTTTGCAGAAAGGGTGGTGAGGAGACTTGTCAGAACAGTGGCGAGCTTCCTGATGCAGTGACGTTGAAGACTAGGTTAGAGAAGAAACTGGAGATGGAAGGTATAACGTTGTCGATGGACTCTGCTAACGTTTTGAATAGTGGGTTGAATGCGTTTATTACAAGGCTGGTGAAGCCTTGTTTGAGTTTGGTACAAGAAAAAAGAGTTTCGATGTCGGATTTACGTGTTGCAATGGAGTTGAATCCAAGGGTTCTTGGAGAGGATTGGCCTATACAACTGGAGAGAGTCTGTTCTCGTGCTTCAGAGGAGTAAAGTTGTAGAAAAGAAAGAGCCGATATTTTAGCGATTTTCGAGATTTGAAACTTGTTAATGATATTTGATTGATCGATTCTTTTCCTGGAATTTGGGTGGGAATTGCCAGTAGAGTGTTGTTGAAGAAGCTTTGAAGGGGGAAACATAGAGGCTTCTTCAGGTTGTACAAGTTCTGAATAGTTTATATAGTAATAGATATAGTTTAAATCACCAATTGTTTAGAAGATATCTTTACTTCCTTTTTCTGTATTTCTTTCTCCTTTGCTGTCTCTCAATGTAACAAATTTTCCATTAAAGCAAAAGAAACTTTTAACCAAAACTCAGGGCTTCGTGAAAAACATGTCTTTTGTAGAAGATCTTCGAGTGTTTCAGCTTGAAATGGCATCTGGTTTTTTACGGTTTCCCATGTAAGTCATGTAGATCGTCCACAAATAGGAAAACGCGTTGCTTACAAGAGGCTGCAAGATAAAGAAAAACAAGAGCAAATTTAGTGAGAAACCAATCTTTGTCCTAATATAAGCAGCAAAGGTAGAGTCTGAGGTTTGTCTTGCACAAGAAGTGGGAGTATCTTTACCTGTAAATGAACGGGGAAGAACTTGAACGTTATAAAATCACATATAGGCCAATACATGACACAGTTTCGCATCGCAGGTAGAAAGTCTCTTTTCAATCTGGCAACTATATCTGATCTGCCTTCACCTGAACAAACAGAAAGTAAAATAGCTTAGAGACATGGTTTAGTGTGTTGCAATCTGACAAGAGACTGTTGGATTCTCTTAAGCTAATGGAAATTAACAAATCAATCTGAATACATAGTAACATAGATAGAAAAAAGCTTACCCTGTAGTAATGCGTTCAAAGAGAAGAAAGTGACCATCATAATAGGCCCGTAGATTATATTTCCCATAGCCATTTTCTTAAGCGATGTAATGAAATCCTGTTTGGGTAAGAGTTTTGACATGAAATTGAACCAACAGTGAAGTGTTGGACCCAAGACACATAGACCATATCCACCCATCCTTGCTGTCCGCACTAAGTCATAAGAGTCGGATGATTTTTTCCCAATCGTCTGATAAAATGATCAAAGACCAAGTGAGTCCTCCTATGATCAAAGTTCTCATAGAGTGCAAGGCAGTAAAAGGAAATGTAACACCACAATTCACATTAAACATGTAAAACTAAATAACAATTACAAGAAATTCCTTAACTAACAAATCTTTTGTGTTTCGGACACTTATTACTCCAATAAAAAAGAATCAAAACATTATACCTAAACACCATGGAGACCACACACATGATACAATGTTTTCTGCTTAAAATGTAGGTACCTGAGAAGACAAATCGGCGGCGATGTAAATAAGGGAAGATGTGACGCTTTTGGTGAAAACTGGGCGTGACTTCAACATACCAAGATACCATCCTACGAAACCAACAGACGAGGAAGAAGGAGGAGGAGGTGAGAGCCCGGTTTGCTTTCCTCTCCCTAGAAACTGAGGCCTCGACTGCAGTCGCCTAAGGTTCAAACTAGCAAGCCTGGTTTTACCAGAAGGATCTTCTGCCACTGTGTTCCGCCGTATGAGCCGGGCGACGTCGTTGGTGGCTTTTCTGAACAATGCCCGGCTCATTTTTGCTCCGGCTGCGTTAGGGGTGGGCACTTTATCCGATACCCGAACTCGTACCCGAACCCGACCCGAAATATCAGAACCGAAATCCGAACCGAAGTAGCAAAATACCCGAACGGGTATTGAGTTAGGAGAGTTTGGATATCCGAACCCGAACGGGTATTACCCGAACCCGAACGGGTATCCGAAGATAACCGAACATATGTATATATACCTATTTATTCCTAGTTTATTTATCTCATTTTATTAAAAATATTTATATAAATGTTATATATAGTTTAAGATCAGATAATATACATATAATTGTAAAAAAAATAAGAATTTGTCACTCATTTAAAATGCATATTAAGCTTCTTATTTTCTATTTTAAACAAAATTTGCATCCAAAATTCAAAAATAACAACCAAAATAATGAATTTTATTTTCAATAATTTATTTTCAAAATTATTAATCGTCTAACTTATTAAACATTTTAAAAACAATTAAGTTAATAGTTAAATTTTAAATACATGAAACTTAAGTAATAAAGAATTTGAAATTTTCTTTCAAAATCTAAATATCCGAACCCGACCCGAAATAACCGAACCCGAATTAAAAATATCCGAACCCGACCCGATATGTAAAAATACCCGAACGGGTTCTATACCCCAATACCGAAATACCCGAAAACCCGAAATACCCGACCCGAACCCGAACGGGTACCCGAACGCCCACCCCTAGGCTGCGTTAGTTTCCGAGATTTCAGGGATTTTTGATAATTGGAAAAGAAAAAAAACACTCTCCACCCACCTCCGGCTCATTTACCGTCGGTTTACCTTAACCGTATTTTGATTGAATGTTGTTGGGGCTCTTTATATTCCAACATGTTTAATGTGCCATAATCTATAGGTCAAAAAAGGGAGAAAAAAACAGTGAGGAGGTGCATGACAAAATGAGAAGCAAGTTCAGATTCTTACAAACTGAAATCAAATCTATATGGTTAAATCTGATAACTGTGCTGGTTGATTAAAGACTTTTTCAGAAACATAGCAAATCATTTTTATTTGTAATGACAGAAATTCAATAAATGTTAATCAAGCGGAGTAAATGGTGATTTTTAGGGCTGGACAAATAAACCGAATTCGAAAACCCGAACAGAACCTGATCCGATAAAAATGAATCAAAATCGATCTAAACCCGATTTAAATACCGAATGGATCTTGTTTCATGGTATTTCGAGTTAGGGGTATAATCCGAACAGAAACCGAAATTAAATGAATATCCGATACAATTCGAAACATCTTAATTCCTAATATATATCCAAAATATTTTAAGATCTTACTAAACATCTAAAATAATTATCTATTACATGGAGGTTGAAGGTGGCGGTTGAAACTTGAAATTTTTTGATTAAGGTTTTGTTATTATTGAATAATGTTTCTCATTTTTTTAAGAACTTGGTTTTCGTATTATACTTTCATTTATTTGGTTTTCTTTCTATTAATCATTGTGTTTATTTTTCATTTGATTTTGAATGATCAAGTTTGATGTTCCTTTCTTATTTTTGAATCAATTTTACTTATTTGGTTACAAAATAGTTACACATAGGTACTTTAAATCCCTAGAACCGATTTTACTTATGTTTTGATTACAAAGTAGGTACATATCAAGTATTTTTAAACCAAAGAACCGATTGGGACCCGAATCCGAAAGTAAAATAGGTTGCACTGTTTTTTTTAAGATTTACTAACCCTGAACCGATCCCGAACCGAACTTTCAAATAATCCGAATGTGGCTGATTTTGATAAACCCGAAGAATCGAGACCCGATTGGATAAAACCGAAATCCGAATGGGACCCCGAATGCCCATGCCTAGTGATTTTAAATATGTGATCAAAACCATTTGTTCTCAGTTATTTCTACTTTCAAAAGTTTATGTTATAGTACCAACGGTAATACAGTTTCTTTCATCTGCAAGTGAAACGATGATCAAGGTCCAGGCGAAGATATTATATATAGCCTATCGAGATAAGCACATATGCTTATTGGGACAGATGCAAACACTGCCAACAGTCATGTTTCTAGAGGCAAACAGCTTTGTCATATCTTTGGTGTTTAGTTTGCAGTACTCATCAACAATGGAGTTTTATGTGTTGTGGTTTGGTCTACACCAATTCTTAATCATATACATAGCAACTCTAATGGCTTCCTTAAACATTGAGTCAACGGCATAAGAAACGTATATCATCTCTGAGCGTCTCTCATCCAAGTATTCCTACTGTAAACGTATATCAATGTTTTGTCCTATATGACATCTGGTTCCATGTATATATATGATCTAAGCTCATACAACAATTCTTATTTACATCCTTTGTAGAATGCCAAGTTGATTTGAAACTAAGAATGTTTGCCCCGTACTGAGCGGAACAAAAATAAATAGTACAATTACAAAAATAGGCTGGTGTCTGTGTAGTTTATTCACTTCTTTCAATCACAGGCAGTGTGTGGACATAATGTTAAGAAGATATTTGAGTGTTTCAGCTTGAATTTGCCGCTGGTTTACTTCCCATATAAGTCATATAGATGGACCACACATACGAAAACGAGTTGCTTACCAGAGGCTGCAAGGTAAATCAAAACAAGACAGCAGACTGAGTCAGTCCAGAAATAAGTAAGCCTATATGTTCTAGCTTCATGGTGAACCACAAGTTGAAAGAGAAGAAGTGCGAGGAGTCAAATGATGGCTTACCTGTAAATGAACAGGGAAGAACTTGAATGTTATAAAATCACAAACAGGCCAATACATGACACAGTTCAACATCACGGGGAGAAGGTCCCTTTTCAATCTGGCAACTATATCAGAACCGCCTTCACCTAAGCCAAAAAAAAAAACAAAAAGTAGAATATAAAGAAGATGGTTTTGCGTTGTAATCAAAGCACTGATTTGAAAAAGCTTACCCTGTAACAAACCGTTGAATGATAAGAAAATAGTCATAATTATAGGCCCGTAGACAGTCTGTCCCATGGCCATTTTCTTCAAAGTTGTGATGAAATCTTGTTTAGGGAAGAGTCTTGACATGAAACCGAACCATTGGTGCTGTACTGGACCCAAGATGAATAGACCGTACGCTCCCATCCTTGCTGTTCTCACCAGGTCATAAGACTCTGAAGAAGTTCTCTTCATCGTAATCGTCTGTTGAAACAGGCAATGAGATAACCATTTCAACAAGTTAATAATATGCAATTTTCGAAACCCTAATTTAGGAAAAGGGAAGGAACCTGAGAAGACAAATCGGCGGCGATGTAAATAAGGGAAGAAGTGGTTCCTTTGGTGAGAACAGGGCGTGATTTTACCATACCAAGATACCATCCCACGAAACCAACGGAAGAGGAAGAAGACGATGAAGAACAGAAGCTTCTTGTTTCTTTTGCTCTTCCAAAAAGCTGATTCGAGCGGAAATAAGGACTCGATTGCAATCTTGTTCCGGTTTTGCCAAAGGGATCTGAAGCCGCCGCGTTCCGCCGTATGAGATGGGCGGCGACGTTTCTGAACAAGGCTCCGCTCATTATTTGCTTCGGCTTTGTTAGCTCTCTTCTCCGAGAATCTGGGGATTGGTCAGGGAAGCGTGTTTTCGAAGCTGGGAAAATATAAAATGAAATCGTTTGTTCAAACTAGTTTCTCTGGTCAACAGGAAGGTTGGACTTTGCTTGTCTTAACAGATCAATAGAGCATTATGGGCATTTCGGGATGCGGAACAATAACTTATGGGTTGGTGGGTATGGATAACTTGAAACTGTAAAAATCCACAAGAAACAAGACGGTTTCTAGATTCAAAATAATTTGCACAAACAATTAACTACATAATTAGATACTTGGGATAATTTTAGAACTTTGATTTGAGAAATCATAAATACTTTATAAAATGTAATTCTTAAACAAATAATTTGGATACTATATCTCGTACTAATTCTTTTTTCATATTTTTCTTATAGTCATTTTAATTAAAATAAATAATTATAAGTGAGATATATAACTTTGGAAATGAAAATGACGTAAATAAATTACTTTTTCACACCACCTCATCTGAATAAAAGTAGTTCTCCTTTGGTTTGAGTTTTCATGCAGTATGTGTTTCTTTTGTTGTTAGAGATCTATTTCTCTTGTAATATGGGATAAGTTATATTGTATATGATGCTAACTATGAGGCTTTACTGAATCCAAAAACACAAAGTTGGTTTTCGTTTTCTTCTCTCCATACCTTATGTTATACTCTCGCTTGGTAACTTTCTCAGGGTTAAGAAGAATATACTCAGCATTAATAAGATAAGCAGCATTTGTTTCATTTTGTAGAAAAGGTTAATATGACATATTAAGAAAGCAATCAATATAATCAATCAATTTGAATTTTGAGGTAAAAGCTATATATAAGCAAGATATTAAAACGAAAAGACATATCAAATCTGTCTAACCAACTAACATATTGGTTTTGCTGGCTCACTTCATTTATTAGAAAGACGAAATCCGAGACTTCTTAGCTTCTATGTTTATTCTTTTCGTCGACACGAGACATAGAGTTTTATCTAAAAAAATCAAGCAAAGACCCGTACATGCATATATGTTCTGCATAGGCATCCAGCCTAATGAAATCATGATGGTAGGTTTGATCCAAATTAACCGGCATTGCTGCACCTAATTGGAGGGAGAGCAAGAGCACTTAGACAATTCACTTTGAGTACAGGAAAGTCTGCTGGTGGGAAAGAAAGCATGAGGCCGAAGGGATCATTGGCTGAGACACGCTGCAACTACCTCAGTTTAATGATCGACTTCCTTGTCAGCATTGATGTCATGATTCTCAACTTCGTCAATCATATAATGACCTTCTCCGCATGCTCCAAATGTGTTCTCGGCGAAATGGACTTGCTGAAGATGAACAAGCTCCAACTTGGCGATGTCAGAAAAAATTTCCATGGTAATCTTTCATCGGGTTATTAACTGGACTTGGACTGCTAGATATATCTAGGTATGGGTTTGGAGATGTAACTTTTTCCTTTCCTTTTCTCGAGCATCTATTGACTAACGATATTTTATCGAGGAACTCTCAAAGAACAACGAGTAGATTGGGAAGTCGATGGATTGCTGGAACATGTCAGAAATAAATGAAAAGACTGCAAAGGAAAAAGTAGAGTTCGAGAGAATATATATGCGATCCAAAGAAGAAGTGAAGAACTAAGAAATAGTTTGTATTAATAAAAAAAATATGCATGTAATTATAAGAGATACATCGTGATAAATGAAGAGACATTGTCATTAGAGCTACAACCAAATTGGCGTCATAATATTTATGTTTCTAGGGACAATGATTCTCAGAGAAAACCAAAGTCCGGTTTAATGGTTTGAAAATTGTTATGATCAGCAATAATTGGGATTTTGACGAATGGTTTACATCAAACTAGATAAAAGCCTTTGGAAGCACCAAGATGAAAACCCAGAGCATTTGAAAGATAAGTGACAAGTTCCACTTCCTATCTCACGATGAACTGAGGAGATTATTATTGTAGATGGATAACATCCCTCAAATAAAACCCATCAAACAAATTGAATTCGGTCTAGTTAACAAAGAGCCGATCAAAAGAAATACACCAACTTAGTGGAAAAAAAAAAAGAAATCGACTATAAAAAGAGAAGACTTAATATAGAGGAAATTCACGATCACACAAAAATCGGTATAAGAAATAGGGTTTTCATAGTTTTACTTGTTATTACTGAGTTCATAACTCTTTCAAATAAACGTTTTTTAAACAACTCATCATGAATTACTATGTTTGATACGTCTGGAACTCAAAATAGCCGATATAACAAGTCAGACAAATAAATGATGGTCAAGCGGCTTTATCCAATATTCACATTGAATTACATTCTGGAATAGCATATGTCGCAATTCCAAATATGTCGCAAGTGCAATGAAATACTGACACATATAGCTTAGACATACAATCATTCCGAGCTATTTTAGTGAAAGAACATACTATTTGTTTATTTATGCCAATGGAATTTAGTCTCTCAGTGAGCTGGCGTTACAACATAATACTTAAACTAAATGAGCTTTGTTGTGACTCTCAGATTGCTCTGATACATAATTTGCTTTAGATCATCACTAGCCCCAATCTCTTAATTGAGTTTTTCAGAGCATCCCCATCAGTGAACTTGAAATAGAGGTTCACAACTTTTATTTTTTTTATTTTTTGTACACAAAATTTTCGTTTGACTTGAAAAAAAAAAAAACTAATCGCGAGCCGCCACATATCGTGGAGCCCGTGAAATAGTGATGATACAGGTTCATCACGGTGAACCTAGGTGAGACAAGTTTATGGAGGAAACATTATTATAATGTTTTTTTTTTGGAAGTGTGAGAGCATCTCTCATGAACCCCTCTTGTATTCTCAATGGAGGTGCTCTTAACTTCAGTTAAGAGACGATTCTTAATTTTTTTAAGATTTTAATTAAGTAAAACTAAAAACCATCACTTAAATAAAAGATATAAGAATTATTTCTTAGCCGAAAAAAATTTATCAAATCATTAGTTAAGAACCATAACTAAGAGATCGAAATTAATCATGCCATTAGTATTAGAGATTTTTCTTTCACATTCACCAAATATATTTTACGTTAGATTTGTTATTTTGCCATTTGTTTAATAAATAAATACGCATTCAAAATGTAGGCTTTTTTGGAACATTTTTTTTTGAAATACCAAAAACCGTCTCTTAAATAAGAGATAAAAAACGTCTCTTAGCCGAAAATATAAAATATTTTTATGTTAAATCATTAATTAAAAATCCCAACTAAAAAACCGAAACTAATCATGCCAATAGTATTATAGATTTTGCTTTCACATTCACCAAATATATTTTACATTAGATTTGTTATTTTTGCCATTTGTTTAATAAAGAAATACGCATTCAAATGTAGGCTATACATTCAAACATTGTCTAATTGCCTATTTGATTCTAAAAGAAATACACATTCAAATATAGGCTTCGAATGGTAAAAGCAGATCAAGCGTTGCAGATCAAGCGGTTCATGCAGATCAAGCAGGACAAGTGCAGATAAAGCAAGACAAGTGCAGATCAAGCGGATCAAGCAGAAGAGATGCAGATCAAACAATTTATCATAAATTATGAATGACAAAAAAAGTTCAAAACTATAGATCATATATTAAGAGAATAAATTATACCAAATATCAATATAAATATTTAAATGTTGTAGGATCAGCCTAAATGTTTATTGGATTTTTTCATAAGATGTTTGTAGCGTTTTAGTTGATCAAAATTATTTTTGAAGAACAGACATCTTAATATTTAATTCTTTGTTAATATTTATATATAAAAATGGAGAAAAAACAGATTAAATAATTTATTATAAATTATAAATGACAAAATATGTTCACATTATATATCATATATTAAAATAATAAAAATTACACCAAATATCAAAACAAATATTTCAGATGTTGTATGTTCAGCCGAAATGTCTGTAAAATTTTTATTAGATGCTTATACTTCTTCTATTTATTAATTATTTTAAAATATAAAATAATTATTTTTTTGCTGACACTTTTGTAAAAAAATTTCTTTTTTTCGTGGAAAATATTTTGTTTTTGGCGATTATACATCATGCTTATAACTTTAAAATGACACAAATAATATTAATGTGAACTATATAGTTTGAGTTAATAATTGTACATTATTTATAAAATCAAATAAATATATTTTAAAGTTAAGTGTTTGTAATAAAACTATTTATTAGTAAAAGGAAAAAAAAAAGGCAGATCAACACCACCAAATGTTAGCGGATGGGATCTGCATGCAGATCTCCTGCTTTTTCTACTAAAAGACAAAAAAATTGAACTGCATGCAGATCTCCCGCTTGAACTGCTTTTACAAACAGAAAATGGTGAATGGTAAACATAAGGCAGGAGAACTGCCTATTGCGGGAGAACTGCATGATCTGCCTTTGTTCTGCCTCTCCCATTCATAACCTAAGGCATGAGAACTGCCTATTGCGGGAACTGCCTATTGCGGGAGAACTGCATGATCTGCATTTGTCCTGCCCCTCCCATTCATAACCTATATATGAAATGGCAGTAACATTTGTGGTGTCTGGAAGACCACATAAATATAAATAATTCAAAATTCATCAAATAAATGAAAATGAACATTATTCGATCTGTTCAAAAGCAACATCGAAATGAACAACAAACCCAACCTGACCCTACTTTAGGTATGCTATCATCCAAACCACTCCATCACTCAACCCTTTACTCATTTCACAAGGAACAAACATTATTTTATAATCAATTTCGAAATAAAGTAACAGACTTTGTTTGTAAAGAAATCTTATCTTTTCTCTAACACATTTATACTCCACTTTACTTTACTATGTATTTACCAATGTTTTTGTTTATATTCTTCTTTTGCTTTTGAAAGCATGTTTTTGTTTATATCGTGATCTAAATTTCACACACAAAATCAGGTTAATTTCCAAAATCTAACTAAGAGAGAACCACATCAATGGTACTAGATAGTGGGATTTGATATTTTATCATTGGTCTACGTAAGTAGTGGTCTTTGATCTGATTGTGTCCTACCGACTCTAATAGAGAAACCATGTAGCACAAATTTTGGTTACTTTATTACGCCAAGTTTCCTTTCTATCCCTCTTAGAGCATCCGCAACTGTGAGATTCACACGAGTCATTAAGGAAAATGGTATTTCGGATTTAGTAAGAATATTTCAGATTTTTCCTTTAAAAAAAAAGAAAAAAAAGATGAGCATTCGCGGGCTACCACGTGTCCTGGAGATCTGAAATAGTGTAAAGATTCGCTAAGAAACAATACTTATTTAGAGATTTTAAAGATCGAATTCTTAACTTTTTATGAGGTCTACTAATTATTTAATTATTTTTTCCCTAAAAACTCACCCTAAAGACTACGGTTGCGGATGCTCTTAGCTCTTAGAATTTTGGTGTTTGGGTCGGCTACAGACAAAACTGATCAATCCCAAATTTTTTTATGTAAAAAGCTTTAAATTTATTTAAGATTGCAAAGTATTTCGATTCAGTTTTTGTAAGAAATTCGTCGATTTTGGGTTGATTTGATTCGTAACTTTTAAAACTGGTTAACACCTAAAAAGTTTGATATGTTACTCGAAATATTAAACTATATTTGAAAAGTCAAAAATATACCACAAAACCTCAAAATATTAGCATTTTAAATAATTTGTAACAAAGAAATTGGTTCCTTTAATAACAGTTCCCTAATTATGTATTTGGTGAGATCCAGAATTTTTTTCATTACTTAGCTAATAAGCACCTAAGATAAAGTTGAGTTTACATATTTGGAGTAACTAATTGATACAACTCATACACATCCCATCATTATAATTTGACAAACTCGCCAACGTGTCAACAGATCTAGCACCGCCAACTCACATGGCATCATGGGTTGTATAATAAAATACACACACTAGAAGGCTTCAATACGACGCTATGTATTTGCGTTTCGATGTAATTCCACTTTCTTCTATTTAAATAAATCATTCACCTCCTCCTTGTACATTTCCTTTACATTGAACCATCACTCAGTGGACTGCACTCCATAATTAGAAAAACAAAAAAAAAAACAAAAGAAAGCAAAAAAATGGCTCGGCAATTTGTTATCATTGCGATCTGCATCGTCCTCGTCGCCGGCGTCGGAGGCCAAGCTCCGTCTTCACCACCAACAGCTACACCAGCACCACCGACTACAACCACTCCACCACCAGCATCGACTCCTCCTCCCGTCTCAGCTCCTCCACCAGTCACCACTTCTCCCCCTCCAGCCACCACCGCTCCTCCTCCCGTCGCTACTCCTCCCCCAGTCGCTTCCCCACCTCCAGCAACTCCTCCTCCCGTCGCTACTCCTCCTCCCGTCGCTACTCCTCCCCCCGTCGCTACTCCTCCTCCCGTTGCTACTCCTCCTCCCGTTGCCACTCCTCCTCCAGCAACTCCTCCTCCAGCTCCTCTTGCATCTCCTCCCGCTCAGGTTCCGGCTCTTGCTCCGGCTACAAAGCCAGACGCTCCTTCATCATCGCCGTTGTCTAGCCCGCCTCTTCCGGCGACTGATGCTCCGGGACCGAGCGTCGATTCGCTCTCTCCAGGACCTTCCACCGATTCCAATGACCAGGTCCGTACATTTTCTTACATCTGACTTGGATCTTACACAATGCGTTTTAGTTTAGATCTGAGATGTTTTTGACTTTGACACTAGTTCAGTTAAGTTTGCACTAGGTTGAGTAATCACTGTTTAGATCTAAAACTGTTAATGAATCACATGATTAGCGCAATTTAACAAAGGAAGCCTTAGTACAGTATGTTCTAAAAGTTATAAGCGCAATTTAGCAAGGGAATTCTATTCCGCGCCGTCTCGGTTTCGCCGATTTTCGGACCGTTGCCGTAGCTTCTGTCTCGAGATCTTCGAACTCGAGCCGTGGCGCATGGGTAGGGGTTCAGGAGTCACGTGAGTTGGCAGTATGCACGTGAATATAATTAACTTCCACGTGTCTATATGTCGGGACCAGTATTATTTGATTTTAAAAGTGTTCCTTTTGTGCAAATTCGATTTTAAAAGTAGATCTAGTTATTAACTTATTGTTTACAAAAAAAGTAGATGTGGTTTACTTTTCTTTGTGTCCAAAAAAGGTCTCTTTGTCATAAAATAGTTTTTAGTGAATAAACTAGTGTAAAAGCATGCATGAATCACGGAATTCTCTATGATTAGTACCCCTATACTTTAGAATCTTTCCAAAGGTTAACCCGGATTATTGATAAGTCCTATTTTGAAATTAACTCTGATGGAACTACTCCCTCCGTTTCATATTAAGTGTCGTTGTAGAGAATTTTTTGCGTTACAAAATAAGTGTCATTTTCGGTTTTCAATGCAAAATTTATTAATTTTATTATGTAATTTATTTTTCTATTGGTTAAAATATGGTTAGGTGTATGGGTAACTGTGTTTTTATATAGGAAATATGTAAAATTAATTGTTTTCTTAATCCGTGTGCACAGCTATAGAGTGACACTTATAATGAAACAGTGGGAGTATAACATACTGTAATAAATAAATATGCTTCTCTAACCAATCAAAATGAAATGCTGATCCCAACTTTTTATGTTTTGCAGAATGGTGCCACCAAGACGGTTTCGAGCTTGGTATTTGGATCTGTTCTCGTTTGGTTTATGATCTAAGGGGGAGGCTTTTCCATGGTGTTCTTTGCATTTATTTTTATGTCGATGTTTGTTTGTTCCATTGTTATTACTTTGGTGACTGAATTCTTTTGGGATTATTATCATTTGGAGAGGATATTATTGAGTGTTTGAGATGGAGATATCAGAATATTTTGTTTAGAGATATTTTGTGGCTTCTTATCCTTTTATTTGATTATTAGTACTGTACTAAATTGCTTTCTTCATGTGTATCATCCTTTTATTTTGCCTCTGACCTTTTTTGATGCTATATATTAACTGGGGTGGGGTTTCAGACATATACTAAACTAGTGGGCAATCAAACGGTTTTGATTCAAACCTGTAAGATAAAAAAACATTCGTTATAAACCTATGTATACAAGTAATTTGTTGTTTAGCGGGTATTAATGCTTTTGGATCCAAAACCCTAGAAGCTTTTGTGTATGGAAGGTGTAAAAGAAGTTTGCATAAACAAATTAATTCGCAGACATCTTATATGGAACTTGGGAGTTCGCAACAAAGAGGAACATAACATACGAGGAAGATTAAAACTTGAAAAATGAATAAACTCCCAAGATATCTGAAAAAACACAGAACTTGTTTGTTAAAATTGAAAGAAAATACATGTAATTGTAACACTGACCCAATATATCTGAAAAAAACAGATAACTTGTTTGTCGATAACGTACTTCACCTTTGAGCTGTGGATTTCTCTAAGGATGTGTTATTGCTCTTGAAACACGGAACAACCTGCTTAATGTCTAAGATGAATCAGAAAAGATCACTCCTTAGTGTGAAGGTCAATGTTCTTAACGGAGAAATAAATTCAACACGACAAGTGTTTTTAAGCTTAAATGTTCTTTGTTTAATGGTTGAATCTCCAAACTCAGCTTGTACATGGTTTTAAAGAGGAAAACATGTTGAATCCTAAGCTAGGAAACCCCTAATCCTAAACCAAAAAGGTTTAAATACAACAAACTTACCTAGGCTATGAAGATTAATGACATAGTTTATAATTAAATATGATATGAACAATTACATTTATTGTTAATATATATTTTTGGCAAACTTTATTAAATTTGACAATAATTAATACATTACATTTAATGTTGATTTATAATTTTGATAAACATTACAAAATATGGTAATAATTCATAAATCAAATAAATATATTTAAATATGTATTATAAATTTAGAAATGTTACTTATTTTACTTTTAGAATTATATAATTTTATTACTAATATTTTCAAAATAAATTTTCCATTTTTTAAAAAATATTAAATTTTTAATCGTAATATCATTAGTTTATTTTAGATATCGAAATCTTTTTATAAATATTGTTTAGTTATAATTTTTCATAACTACACAATTTATATATGAATTTTCTTAATAATTTTATACAAGTTGATTTAATATATTTAACCAAAATAAATAGATAAAAATATTTCTAAAATTCATATAGTATGAAAGGTTTGGACTTGACCATATCCAGATGGGCCAGCAGCTACACTCCTGATGGGCCAAGAGAGATTACAGGTCCACTCCAGCAGTAATACCTGATCACATACGAGACATATATAATGAAGTTAAGTATGGTTGATTAGGTTAACGGCAGCAACAAGGGAAATACAAGAGTTTACAACAACAAAAATCAGATCAAATCATTAAGCAAGGGGCAACAATACAAGATAGATAGCTTAGGCATAAGTTTATTTATCTAAGGACTTTGTTGTGTTTCTCTAGCTTGGAGTATTTGGTTCTTTGTAAACAACTATCTAAAACACTAATTGGTGTGTCTAGTGTCTCTTTGATCTAGTGGAGTTTGAGAGCAGAAGTTCTCCCACGAGACGTACCGTGCTAGAGGCCGAGAACTCGTTAAATCGCTTGTGTCTTTACTTTCAGTACTAGACACTAAGTAACCTAAGCTAATAATCTCTACAATTGGTATCAGAACTTCCGGGTATTAAGGTTGCTTAGGAGAGAGAGAGATATCGGCGTAGTACATGTGTTTCTTGATGGGAAAATCAAAGGAACACATTGAGATGACCTGTTCGATGGGGATGGTGATTTTGCCCTATGGAAGGTTAGAATGCTCGCTCATTTTGGCGTACTCGGATTGTAAACTATTCTCACTGACGATAAACTCGTAAAGGATGAATCAAGTTCCAAGGATGAGCTCGAGTCTACCATGAAGGACACGGGAAAGGGGTAGCTGGAATTGTTGCACCTCCACCTGCAATTGATCCTGAAAAGTTTGAAAAATCAGAGAAAGCTAAAGACTTGATTGTGCTGAATGTTGGGAATAAAGCCTTAAGAAACATTCAACATTGTGATACTGCTGCTGCAATGTGGAGTATATTAAACACTTTGTACACAGAGACATCTCTACCTAACCGGATTTATCTATAGCTCAGGTTCTACACTTACAAGATGATTGATTCGAAAACTATTGATGAGAACGTGGATGATTTTCTAAAGCTGGTGGCAGATTTAAATAATTTGCAAGTTGCAGTATGTGAGGAAGTTCAAGCTATCAACTGCTAAGTTCTCTACCTAACAAATATGATCAACTCAAAGAAACTCTCAAGTATGGGAGAGACACACTGAGTCTGAATGAGGTCACTGGGGCCGCTAGGTCCAAAGAAAGGGAGCTTATCGAGAGTGGCAAATTTACCAGATCAGGTGGAGAAGGTCTAATGGTTGAAAGAGGTCGATCAGACAACAAAACTGGCAGAGGTAGTGGGAAGAACTACAAGGGCAGATCCAAAAGTAGATATAGACGATCTAAGTCACGCCCAAAGAACAATAAAAATTCTAAGGGGTGCTTCATATGCGGTAAAGAGGGCCACTGGAAGCGTGAGTGCCCTGATAAGAAGAAATTCAAAACTGAAGACTCAGCCAACATAGTAACAGAGTCTAAGGAGCCGTTGATACTCTTTGTCAGCACTCAATACACAAAGGATGACTGGGTAATGGACTTTGGGTGTTCATTTCATATAACACCATATAAGAGCTTCCTATTTGACCTGCAAGAATTCAAAGGAGGAAATGTGTTAATGGCAAACAACACTCACAACAACGTTCAAGGAATTGGAAAAATTAAAATTCTAAATCCAGATGGGTCTATGGTTATCTTAACAGGAGTCAGGTACATGCCAGATATGAGCAGGATTTTAATTTCTTATGGAATGTTCGAGACAGCAGGCTGTCGATATGAAGGCAAGAATCTCGAAGTTAGTTTCTACAAAGATGACAAACGTATACTTTCAGGGAAATATCATTAGGGATTGTATTATCTATAAGGGACAGTCTTATGAGGAGAGATGAATCTTTCTAAAGCTGAGATGAATATGACTAATGTTTGGCATTCTCGCCTTGGTCATATGAGTCTTAATAATATGTCTGAACTTATCAAACGGGGATTTATCATTGATAAGGATGTTAAGACATTGGATTTCTGTGAACATTGTGTTATTGGAAAGTCACACAAACAAAGCTTCCTTAAAGCTAAACGTGTGACTAATGGTATTCTGGATTATATTCATTCTGATTTATGGGGTTCTCCTTCTATACCGGATAGTCTTGCTGGAAATAAGTACTTTGTTACTTTTATTGATGATTTACCAAAAAAGGTCTGGATTTATTTCTTGAAGACCAAAGATGAGGTATTTTCTAAGTTCAGAGAATGGAAGGTTGAAGTTGAAACTAATACATGAAAGGAAATCAAATGTTTAAGAACAAATAATGGTTTGGAGTTCTGCAATAGAAAATTTGATGAGTATTGCAAAAATGTTGGGATTAAAAGGCACATAATCTGCACTTATACTCCGCTGCAGAATGGAGTTTCAGAAAGGATGAATAGAACGTTTATGGACAAGGTAAGATGCATGTTAGTCGAATCTAGCTTGGACCAAATTTTTTGGGCTAAGGCTGCATCTACTGCAATTTATTTAATCAACAGGTCGCCTAATTCTACTTTGAATTCCAAGCTTCCTGAGGAAGTGTGGTCAGGTTGTAAACCTGATTTGGGACATTTGAGGACTTTTGGCAGTTCAGCATATGTGCATGTGACAGAAGAAAAGATAAGTCCGAGAGCAATCAAAGGATTGTTCGTGGGATATCCTATGGGCACTAAAGAGTATCGAGTTTGGATACCTCAAGAAGGGAAGTGCAGAACAAGTAGGAACGTTGTGTTCAACGAGGAGGAGCTATACAAGCACACAATTGCCACAGAGAAGACTAGTAGTGAAGATGCTAAAGGCAAGTGTAAAGACAACTAATAAGAGAGTATCGTTCA